GGGGGACATTTTGCCACTTGTGACATCTTTAAAGGGTTTTAGAGGATTTGGCCGTGCATTAAGAGTGAAGAGCAGAAAAAGGATTAGTTTTATGTTGGGGAAAGTGAAGTGTTACGGTTTAGAGCTTTAATGTAGTCAGTGAAAGTCGGTACAGGCATGTTAGTGTTAGTGTATGTATGTCATGCTGGAACATTGCCCTTAAATGCTGCACTTGATTTATAGAACAGCTAAGTCAGCTGAGGATAATTTGCCCATGGGTAAAATTTAAGGTGTGTGTTTCCATGTTTTTCTCACTTTAATGTTTTCGTGTGCCATGTTTTTGTAATCATTAACAACAACAAAAAAGCTTGTATGCATCACGAACAGGAAGAAGGAAGAGCTTTGTGTAGCTTCAGCACCCCACCTGTGGTCACCATACATGTAGGTCATGTTGTGGCCTGTTGAACCTGTCCTTCCTGGTCTGTAGTGCCTGAGCTGCAAAGGCTCAGGCCCACAAAGAGCAGTTCCTGTAAAGTCAGCCCTGCAGGTTCTGGGTATTCACAGGTCGAGTTTGGGTTCTGGCATCATCTTTCTGCTGCTGTGTTTACCACGTACTTGTGGTGTTAGTGTTTTTTTTTCAGGTATTGTTAAACAATACTAGGGTTCGATGTAACCGCTGTCTCTATAGCCAAAAGTCTGTCGGGCAAGTTGATTGGTCGGCTGCTGGCTTGTTTGGGCCAGCAACAGTGTTTCCACCAAGCACAGATATGACTTCACCTTTTTTGTTGTTGGTGATGTGGGGCTGGACACAGAGAACAATTACTAAAAGAACATATGCAATGACTGTAAAATATATTTAGAGACACAGAGTACGCACACAAAGTGTGTGCATACAAAGTATTGCCAGATTTAGCCCGGTCAGCCTCCATTTTTGACATCGCAACAACAGCTAAGATGGTGCTGTTATGGTTTATGATGCAGCAAAAACACACAACAAGGTAACCCAGGTGTTTCCTGACCATGTTTCCTCACATACAAGGTCTTGAATAATCAGGCACCATCTTATCTTAAAGACTTCATACTACTGTATCACCCCAGTAGTGCACTGGGAGCACTCTCAGACTGCTGGTTAATTTGTCGTTTCTAGGATATTTAGAAGAAGAATGGGAGACGGAGCCTTCATCTTTCATGCCCCTCTTTGGATTCGGGATACAGACAGCCTCTTGGTCAGCCAAGCCACTGAAGAGATTTTTAATCTCAAGAGTTTCACTTCTTCGTTAAATAAAGTAAATAAATAAAACAGCCAAACTAGGTTTCTGCTGGGTTTTGCCACCGTATTACTACCATCCTGCTGATCTTAATTACTCTGACTTTTTTCCTCCTCTTTTTAAGCACATCTGTGGCTCACCACCTACTTCTTTTCCTTAAGTCTGTGTGAGAGCCACTGTGTTCCCTTTTGGGAGGCCAGTCTGATTCTCAGTCTCAGCTGACGGTCCTCCCAGCCGTCCATGCTGCCTATGATCACAGTTGATTGGATTTAGACTTCTGTGCTGGACCTAGATTTCTCAGTGTGGAGATAAAGGTTTAAGGTCAGGCACACTGTTCAAAGCTCTGAATAAATATGGCTGAGGGAGCTGTCACCAAGCT